AGTTGCCTTCGACCGACTGAAGTGCCCGCGCGCAGGACGATTTTGACAAGACCATTGCAGAGACCTTTGACCGTTAACAGCGCGGTTGTGACCGCGAAGCACAACGGGGCGAAACAAGGCGAAAGCATCAGGCCTTCGGGCAATATGACGAGGTGGCAGTCTGCCGGCCAGATATCAGGAAATGCATTTCGGAAGTCCCGACAGCCCAACAGGAGCCGCAAATGGACCTCGTTGACGAGGTGTCGGCATCTGTATCGCAAGTCTTGCCAAAAAGTCGGCGAGATGAACGACTATCGATGACATGACGAAGACGTGTCCGAAGAAACTGTGCAGCTTGATGGCACCCCTTGGCCGATGAAGAGGAGACGAAGAAGTATACCGTTCCCCGTGAATCGCTTCAAAGACTGCTATAGACTGCTCTTGTCAACAGGCTCAGCAGAAGTGGGCCGAAGTCGCGGGAGGTGCCATGCACCACGCCTCGATAACCCAAAAGAGCTTCATCTTATCGAGCCCTACTTGTACCCTATAAAATCTTCCTTTTTAGGGCTCCCCAAGCTCCTCATTATGATTTCCTTCTACAAGTCCTTACAGCGGTAAAGTTATTTGGGGTCCAGGTACACCCTAAACATGCTCGACACGCAGGAGCCTGAGGGTAGTTGAGCGACAAACGTGTGCAAGCGCCTGCTGCCCGCTGCTACGCTACATCTGGAACTGTGAGCAACACACCGCAAACTCTGAACATTCCGTATCCCACAGCTCTGAACCCTGACCCTGAGGTGCTGTAGCTGGCGGAGCAGCGTGGTGGCAGCAATGTGGAGCTTCACAGGCTGTTCCAGAAAGTCCCGCGCAATGGGACTCGAAAGTTCTGCAAGCTCGATTCCCTCCCCTGGAAGAGATTTTGCGCACCTGCTTCGCGTTCCTTGGCAAGGACGGCGTTGCCAACTTTGCGCTCGCTGCACCTGCACAGAATGTGCCTGTAGCGTGCACATGGATGCCAGCTTCGGCAGCACGTGGTGCAGTATTTCTCACGTCGCTGAAATACACGACCTGAGCAACGTCAAGCTTTTGGATCAGGTCATTCGTGAGTAACGCGAGTCGAAGACAGACATGCGCCCGCGCGCGGCGGCGAAGGTGCTACTGACCCCTATGGTTATGGAGGCCCCGCACACACGGTGGGTAATCGACCAAGGTGCGCATGGCGAAGGTTTCACACCGGCGAGACAAAGCCAGCACTCAGTTCGGCCTGCAATCTACAAAGGGGCTCTGAAGAATTTAAACAGTTTCTAGAGGATCTGTGAAGGTTTGTTTTCAAGCTTTCCTTCCGAGTTCCTTGATTCCTTGCTCCTTGAAACATACCCTGGAAACCCTTTACACTTCTTCTACATACCTAAACATAATCATGATATAGGGTCGCAATAGCACCATTCTTTAGGCTTCCTTCTTCCAAGTCTAGCATGTATTCCGAAGGCCTATATACTCTAATTGCGTTAATTAACGCTTGTGTTAATCGGTTTAGGATGTAGGCATGTAGGTGTTGTGTAGGCTTTGAGTTTTCGGGTACGGTTTGGTAGACACCAAAGGAGACACGATTTGTGAGCCTTCCGTGCCGTTCCAACGATTCAGTAAAACCCAGGCCTTAGAGCATCTTGCTGCAGTTTTCGCCAACTAAAAGAACGGTTCTACAACCCACAAATCCCTGACGAAGCCCGAGACCCTAAACTCATAAAGCCCCAGAACCGTAAACAGAGCCCTAACCCCTGAAGCTCCAAACCCAAAATGCCCTCATTGCGCAGGCCACGTCTCGCCTCGCTGATGGCAGCCAACGAATCCGATCTTGATCCTGAGCTGGAAAGTCAATAGGGTTTAGGTTTTAGGTGTCAGGTTTAGGATTTAGGATATCGATTTCGGGCTCAGGGTTTACATTAGGTTTGGGGTTAAGGGTTTGGGCAGGAGTTTAAGGGTTTCGGGTCGCTGACTATCTCGGCTACAGCTTGTGTACCTCTTTGGAAGATAGATCGCTTTTGTCTTTCTTGTTTTGCATATCGACGATTATTGTCGTTCTGTTCGTGCCGGTGTATTAATGAAACAGTTTTCGCGATGGTGCTACCATGTGTGCAAATGGCATTTCTGCTGGTAGTGGCCGATGTATATGGTTTGTCGGCGAATTCCTACTTGCCTTGATGTCTTGTGTTAATGATTTTCCTTGTGTTACCTTGGTTGAATATTACTTTATGTGCTTAATCTGACGCTCGTGAGTGCGATGACCATCACGATGATCATGGTGGTGACGATGTTAGTTAATCTTGATGATGAGGAGGAGGAGGAGGCGGAGGAGGTCATCATGATGGCGGCCGACAGTGATGATCGTGTGCTGCTGACGGCGACGATGAGGAGAAGGATGACAAGTGGAGATGCTATTGCTGCATTTTAGTGTATTATCGTACTCCATAGAATCACATTGCACTTAGTATTATAAGGTTCCATGAGCCTAGCACTGGGTGGTGTATTTTAGAAAATAGTTTGCTCTTTAGCACTTCCTGTGGACAAAGCGTTTGTCAAGAGCCGTTCTGGTTGAGATGTATGCGCATACCTTTACTGGCCACCAGCCATGCAGGCATCTACGCAGATCATACTTGTCCGTATATGATGGTTTATGTTGTGGTGTTGTGCCGGTACTGCTATTGTCGCAATGAAAAGGTGCATGTTGAAAGATGGTGACGAAGCTGCTGCAGATGATGCGGACGAACCTCAAGATGGCGATTCCGATGTTGGTTTTAAGTTATTTAAGATGACCGTTAGATGATGGTGGCGCTGATGCCTATTATGGTCATGACCATGACGAAAATGACGATACTGAAAATGATGATGCGGATGGTGATGATATAAACATGGTGGCGACTGCGAGCACTCCTCTGTTGTACTGGGTTGCTGGCCATCTTCTGATGACGATGATGACCATGATGATGCCAATGACGTTGATGATGATGGTGACGATGATGATGATAGCCGTGATGACGACTATGACATTGGTTTTGAGCAGGGAGCAGGAGGTCGAGTTCTACCGTCGTTGGGCCACTTCAAGTGAGTTCTCATGTCTACACTTCGGCCGTCAGGTCTTTCTGGATGATGCGCAGCTGGGACGTGGTTCAGCAGCTTGCGTTTGTCGTCTTTTTCTCCGAAGCTTTCCCCTGCCCCATCTAATTTGGGGCTGAAGGTCCCTGAAGCTCAAGTAAGCAGATGTTCGCATTGCTAGCAGCTGACTCGCCAGCCTGCTTGCGTGGTGTAGGCATCTCAGCGGGTCGATTTAAGATAATTTGGGCGACAGGTGTCAAGGAGTACTCTAGACCGTTAAGTCCTGATTAACAGTACCTACTGTATAGTCTCCATTGATGTTTCTTTTTTGGGGTTACCTTATAGGATCCTAGTCATAATACTGGTTCAACCAAAGAAAGGAACTACAATGGAGACTAAGGTAAAAGCCAGAAAGTTGGAATATGATTATCCTAACCCTTCTATGGTAAATTATAGGGTATCCTACCATGAAACCATATTCCAACTTTCTGGAGTTCCCTTTATAGGTACCCTCAGGCTCTGGGCTTTGCGGCTTCCTGGAACCTCGTAAGGGCCACCCATATTCTTGCCTGCTTCTTTTATATGCTATCTGTGTATGCATGCGTGCATGTATGTTTGTCAAGTTTTTCCACATCTTTATATTCATATCAACTTCTATATAGGCTTTACAACTCTATGATAACCCGTATCATGGACTCTATTGCTATAAAGCCCTTTGCAAGCCCTAATATAAACTCCCTTCAATGATGCTATATACTACCTTGTTGTATACCGTCCTATAGCCCCTGTTTCATACTCCACTGCAAATACGCAAGCCTGAGTCTAAGCCCTAATTAATTAATATATATATATATATATACATACACATCTATATATAAATATATATATATATATATATATATATTTATCATAACCTCTAGCCCCTAGTCTATACCCTACTGTACACGTCTTAAACACTAATATGAAAGCCCTAAGCCCTAAACTCCTAATCCCCAAAACCCCTTAACCCCCAAACCCTAAACCCCTAAAGCACTAAACCCTAGACCCCTAAAGCCTTAAAGCCCTAAGCCCTAAACCCCTAAACCCCTAAAGCCCTCAACCCCTGAAGCCCTAAACCCCAAACCGAAGTCTTCTGAGCTCCGCGAGGTCGTCCGGCCTCAATGCCGTGCTGCGAAGCCTCCGCTGGCAGCCCAACGAGCTCCCACTGCACATTTCTCCCTGTCCTTAACACTTAGGGGTACTTAGAAATATTTTTTTAATTTTTGGTTATTATAATCCCTAAGAAACAGCTCAAATTACAATTTTTGCTAGGGTTCCAAGTTCAGTATAGAGCAGGGTATAGGGTTTAAGGTTCAGAGATCTTTGAGGAACAGCTCTCAAGGTTTAGGGCTTAAGGTCCAGAGGTTTAGAGTTTCGGGTTTGGGGGTTTAGAGTTTAGGGTGTAGGGATTTAGTAGTCGTGTCTGGTTCTTAGCAGGGAATGAGGGAATGGACTATGGACTATGGGGACTATTATTGTGGATTGTATAGGAACTACTATTAGGGATCCATTCCCCCATTCCCTCCTGAGGACCAGGGAGATTTTTCTGTTTGGGGTGTGGGGTCTAGGGAAAATAGCTTCCTTTAAAGCTGTCTATAAGGGCTACTATAAGGGATCTGTAAGGATACGAAAATGTAGGGGCCTAAATAATTACCTACACTAGTTTTGAGGAATTCTTCTTTTAGTATAGTATAATGGACCTCAAAATCCTATTCGACTTATTAAGGCCTTATATTAGGATGTTTGGAGCTTACCTTAACGCTGAATAACCTACCTTTTTGGGGCTCCTTATTATGATTTCTTTATATAAGTCCTTAAAAAGCTAGGTCTTTCAGGGTTAAGGTAGGGTTTTATAGGGTTTAGGATTTAGGGTCTTTTTTCCCTCTCGCATGGATGAGATCGAGAGTCTCGGGCTTTTAAGCCTGGGATTTAGGCTGTCCAGGCGGTTATTGGGAGTCAGTTGCCGTTGCTCCAAGGACATTCTACTGCTGACAACTGCTGCTTATGCGGTGCTGCCGAACACAGCCCAGTGGCTGCAGCAGCGGTATGGCATTCGAACTCTGCACGTCGAAGTGTTCCTTGATCCGAGTTGAGCACTCGGAGTCTTTGTGTGGGGGCGTTCAGAATGAACACACGGGGGAGGAGCCGAGCGTGCTGTAATTGTATTATAGGGAACAACAAGGAACAATATTCACAGTAATTGTTCAGTCTTCCGCATTGCCTTTTCTTAAAGACGGGTATGATTAGCTTTCCTATGTTTAGGTTAATTGCGGGGTGTGTTCCAATGCTTTAGGGATTGGTCTGATGATTCTGATTAGTGCTGCTACATGAGGTCTGGATGTTCGAAGGGAGTGCCGGCAGACCACTTCTTGCGATTAGACCTATAGTCTCCATTGTAGTTCCTTTTTTTGTTAACCAGTTTTATGGTTAGGATCCTATAATAGAGATTTTGGTTAACCAAAAAAAGGAACTACAATGGAGACTATAGGGAAGCATGACATGTCTCAACCGCTTGAATGCCTGACGCGCTTGTGTTGAGCTACATATTATGTTGCCAAGCACATGCACGATTAGGCGTCACAAGGACAGAAAGACCCGAGCCTCACATCCTGCTCCCCCAAGCCCGAAACCCTGGAAGCTTTGGAGGATCATGGGACTTAGTAAGTAGGCTTTAGGGCTCCTTTTAAGGGTACTATGGGGTTCTATAACAGGCTTCCTTAAAGGGGTCTATAAGGATTCTAGAAGGAGGATCATGGGACTTAGTAAGTAAGGTTAGAAGTACCTTGATTGAGGTTTTAAGTAATTGTAGGTATCGGTACCTTCATTATAACCCTAGTTACTACTGATACCATAAAAGCCTTTCTCCGAGACCACATACGCCCCGAAGTCTAGTCAGGACAGTTCCTAACCCCGAGCCCTCTCCGAGTCCCTAGACCCTGCACCTAAACCCTAAACCCCAACTCCATAAATCCTTAAAACCATAAAACCCCAAAGCCCTATGATTACCCTAAACCCAAATCCGCAAATCCTCAAAACCATGAAGCCCTCAAAGCCCCAAATCCGCCCCCAACTTCAGGCACTTTCCGGCGACTGGCGCGGAGACCTTCCTGGATCCGGTCAGGGAGGCCCTCGAGAAGCTGGGAGGAGAGGCGGCCCGGGATCGTGGGGTTCCGGGGGGGTTTAGTCTTTGATATAGGCGCTTTAATAATTAGAATGATGAGGGTTTTGGGTGTTCGTGTTCATCATCAAAATTATAGTAAAATATACCATATGAATATACCCGAAAACTCTACTCCAATTATGAATACTTCAGGCCCCTACATTTGGGAAAACTCTAAAGCCCCAAACCTTAAACCACTGCCACAAGGCGTCTCGCCTTCGGCTTGCCGTCTTTGATCATGCGGCCCGGCATCACTGACCCCTAAACCCTACGCCCTGAGTGGAGACACGGATTCATAGCTAACCCTGAGTGTTCCCCTGACCCAACGACCCTGGCTTTCCCCTAGAAAGAGTTTCACCTACAGTCTCCATTGTAGTTCCTTTTTTGGGTTAACCGAAAACTATATTATGGCATCCTAACCATAAATCTGGTTCAAAGAAAAGGAACTACGATGGAGACTATAGGCAGTCCTCCGAGGTCTGCTTCTGAGGGTAACTGAGATGGCCTGCGCTTTGCAGCATGGGATTCCCGTAGCGTCGTAACTCTAACCTCCGAAACGCCTAAACCTCATACACCCTTTTCGAACGCGTAAGGCTTCCTCATACACCCTATAGATCCTAAACCCCTAAACCCTAAACCCCGACCCCTAAACTTAAACCTTAACCCCTAAACCTCATAAACCCTAGGCCCTAGATCCTAAACCCTAAACCCCAACCCCTGAACTTAAACCCTAAATCCTAAACCTGATGAACCCTCAACTCCCAGGTGTCCTCCTACCCACCTGCCGTCCTTCCGGTGGAAGCCTTGGCCAAGCAAGTGAAGGCCCAGGGCATTTTCTCACTTCAGCTCCAGCTGTGGGATCCGTTACCCAAGTGGGTGGTTGTCACAATTATGTTCCCTTTTGGGGTCCCTAAACAAACGACACCAAATATTTAGGGTTAAAAAAAGGGACCATCATGTTGACAACCACCCAAGTATAATAAAGATTGACTTCTGGCTTTTTAGGCTTTTAGTGGAAAGGGGCTGGGGGTGTAGAGCTGCGGTTCTTTGAGGTTTAGTTGAACTTGGACTGTCAGTTGTCTGCTATTTTGCCTGAAAGGCTACAGCCTTCAGTTTTAAACCCCAAATCCCTAAACCCTAATTAGAAAAAAACCCTAAATCCTCATGGCAGGTGGCGGCGCCGAGCGCGCTCGTGCTGGTGGACGGAGCTCATGCTTTGGGGCAGGTGCCCGGGACATGACGGGTTCAAGTAAAACAGTGCCTACAGTCTCTGTTGTACTTCCTTTTTGGAGCATAATTACTTTTGAATATCCTTCATTTAAAGTTGGTTAAACCAAGAAAAGGAACTATAATGGAGACTATAGGAATGTAAGACCGTGAACAAAAGCCTCTGCAAGGTGCCCATTTCCATGACGGCCTTGGCCACCGCGGGCGTGGACTTCTATGCCTGAGTCTCAATGCCATGCCTTGCGCCAATAGATTGTTCAATTACAGCTACAGTCTGATCTATATATATATACACATATATTTGTATTTACGTATTTATGTATGTATTTAATTATGTATATATATATATACCCCAAAGCCCTGTGTTCATTATTACGGCCTCTACATTGACCCTGATGTAAAAAGCATAGCAAACCCTCAAAACACCCCTAAACCCTAAACCCTATAGCTTGATCTAGATTCTCAGCTTCCGATCCTTCCCTACATCTTCGTGTGAGTCAGAGCCAGGTCACTGATGGCCACAAGTGGCTCATGGCACCCAAGGGCAGCGGTGCTCTTTGGGCACGCCCCTCTGCGCAGCCCCTGCTGGAGCCCGCGATCATCTCCTCGGACAATGCGCCAGGCTTGGTCTTTGCTGGCTTCGATTTGTTGCTTTGGGAGTTTCCGAAAATAGGGGACCCTAATTTCGTACCCTAAATTGCAGGATCCTTATTACAAGGAGTCCCCAACATAGGGTACCCCTAATTGTCGGACTTTCCCATTTGTCTGCCGATTCAGAGAAGAGAAGCGTAGCCAGTTGGGCTCGAGGGAAGTCCAAACATCCTTCACGCGGTAGCCTTAGTAGCTGAGTGGATACACTTTACACTTTTTGGGATAATATTACTCACTACAGAACTGAAAGTGTGGGCACTTTTTGGGGTTTATGAACTCAGCAACTAAGTAGCAACGCCGACACACCTGGCCAGGTTGGGGCGCCTGTGCTGAGGGTGCTATATTAGGGTCCCCTATTTTCGGAAACTCCCACCTTGGTTGACTGAATTAAGGGACGTCTTTCAAGAAACGTGTGCGAAAACTCAATACAGGAGGATGCTGCAGCCTGCCTTCTCATGAGCAGTACCATGGCCATTCGGTCCGTAAGAGACCTCGGGTCCATCAGCCTTACCATTCAATGGCACACGTTAGGTATGAGTCGAAACGCTCCCCTGCACGGCCTTGACCTTTTCCCCATGTTCTGTTGCTTGTGAGTCAAAACGGACGACAGCTGAGTGTTTAAGGTTGAGGGTGTAGGGCTGAATTCCGTCTTAAGCCGCCGCCTGCCAGGAACGAGCTTCCAGTCCCGGTTTGACTACATCGGAACGCGGGACTACACACCCTGGTGTGCTATGGGATCGGCGATGGACTTTCGTCGGGACGTGCTTGGGGGAGAAGACCGCTGCCCAGCAGCAAGATTCACAGAAGCCTAAATGATTAGTAGTGTCAAGTTTCCGGGCTCCTTGTACCATTGTAATGAGCGGTTGAGGGTTTTAGGATTTAATTCGGGCTTAGGGAAAAATGCACAAAATCCTACTCTAATGATTAGGGCCCTTATATTATGGCACCCCCAGAGATCCCTTATAGCAACCAACAATGCACCCAAAATCCTATTCTAATTATCAATCCCCCTGGCTTCGGCACATGTTCTTCTGAGCGAAAGATTGTTCTGGGGGTCAACGAAGACAAAAACTATGTAAAGAGTGCGACCACGACGATGGTGATCATGATGATAAGCACAATCATGGTGATTGCAGGAGGTTTGGATATTTTGCATTGCGCTCTCTCCCTCTCGCTCTCTCTCCCTCTCTCTCTCTCTCTCTCTCTCTCTCTCTCTCTGCTGCTACTGCTGCGTGCACCGGTCTTTCTCAAGTCAAGGTCATGTGAAAGGTGGAGGGGTCTTCTTGTGGTGGTGGTGGTCGTGTTTGTTGTGGTGGTGGTCGTGGTGATGTGTTGATACGGAGTTGTGTGAGAACCAGCGCCAACTGCGGAATACAGCCCAGTCATGCCGTGACGAATGTGCGGTGCTCATAGCTACTGCGACTTAACACCGTTTCAGCACAACAGCCACGTGATTTAGCCATTTCGCTTGGCAGAATCAGTGTGAGGCTGATGATGAAAATCGCAGCACCTGTCATGCTTTTTCCTTTCTGATTTTGTACCCTATAAACCCTATTTAATTAGTACTTAAACTCAGAGCCCTAAACCCATAGATCCTAAACCCCAAACCCTAAGCGCAGCTTGGAATGGCCAACTGAGGCATTCAAAGCTACGTCACCGGCCTGGCTCGTTGGGCTGGGAGGCACATGGCAGACCGCCTTGGCACCGAGACGGTGGCACCAGACCTTCGGCAAGGATTGTAGGTTTTACCTGGACCGTGAAGAACCTGCCTTCTCAAGTATTAGTACTTATAGAGCGAAATCATAATAAGGAGCCCTAAACAGGTAGGTTCTTCAGGGTTCAGGTAGGGTTTAGGGTTCAGGGTTTTGGGGTTTTAGGAATGCGGGCTGTGCGGTACGACTACCGGTGTCTGCCTGATGTGAAGGGAAGAGGGTCAGGTCTTGGGTTCGGAGGCGGCCCTGCCGAGACCGACACCCTCTCAAACAATACTATCGGGGCCAAAAACAACTACCTATACTATTTTGGGGGTTGCTTATTATATTATAGTACAATACGCCCCCAAACCCTTTTCTAATTGCGAAGGCCCCTATAATATACAAATATTAATATAATGTTTAATAAGGCCCAGGCCTAGACCCCGTATAGACTAAGCCTCAAGACATGACAGCGCCGAGGATTCAATGACACCCGGCATGTTTGCTCTGCGGCTGCCTCTGCCCGAGGCTGCTTGGGTCGGGAAAGCAATCTTCGCAAGTTTAGGTTTACTTATAGTCTCCATTGTAGTTCCTTTTTTGGGTTAACCAGTTCTATGGTTAGGATGCCATAATATAGTTTTTGGTTAGCCAAAGCAACGAACTACAACGGAGACTATAGGTATTGTTGGCATTCAGGGTTCAGGTTCTAGGTTTACTTGTGATTTACTGTTCAAGGACGATTAGGTGATGTTAGATGCATCAGGAGATCTGCCTCAAGAATCTAAGCAGTTCAGCCACTTCCCAGGAGTTGCTGTAGCATGTTAGATGCATCTGGTGCTTGGGGTGCTTGAAAGTAGTAGGATTGCTTCTGGGTCCCCCAAATCAGGAGCCCCGAACCCGTAATTCTCCTAGACCCTCACATACCACGCCCATGGCAAGTCTTATGAACATCAAGCAAACTGCACGGGAGGGGCTGGCTACGAAACCCCAACCCCGATCCCGAAACCTTCCCATCTCCAACGGTAAAAAGAGGGACCCTTACTAAGGACCCCTAGGTATATACCCTTAATATAGCTATTATATACCCATTATACACCCCATTATAGCGTAGGGGTCCCCATTAAAGGTCCCTCCTTTTCCCCGTTGATTTCAGGAGACGAGCAACTGTCGGATGGTACAGGGAGTTTAGGGTTCAGGGTTAAGGCTTTAGGTGTCGCCTGGTACACCTTGCCTATTGCCTTTTGTCTCCATTGTAGTTCCGTTAGCTTGGTTTAGCCAGCTGTGCAATTAGGATTTTTTAAAGGTAACTCCCAAAAGGAGCTGCAATGGAGACAAAAGGTACAACCTAACCTCTGAAAACAACCCGGGCTCCAAAATCGAAATCCTTTGCCCCAAGCTAAGATATCTATTTGGGTGGCTGTCAAAATTATGGTCCCTTTTTGGGTACCCTAAATATTAGGTGCCGTATTAGAATAAGGACCCAAAAAGGGACCCTAATATTGACCACCATAGGATTTAGGGTCCAAGCCAAAGCATCTGAGCCCTCAGTCCCTAGACTTCGAGCCACGCTCGTCTCCTGAAATCAACGGGGAAAAGGAGGGACCTTTAATGGGGACCCCTACCCTATAATGGGGTGTATAATGGGTATATAATCTGAACCCTCAACCTTAAACCCCCCTCCCCCCCAAAAAAAAATCCACAAGCTCCCTGACTTCAGCTAAACGAAGCATCCCAAAGTGCAATACCCCGAAGTCTGGACCCGCAAGCTGCCCTCGTACAATAGTCCTCGTAGTAGTTCTTATATGGGTGATTGTCATGATTAGGGTTCCTTTTTGGAAACCCTAAATATTAGGGTTTAGGGTTTAGGGTTTTCTTTTATAAGGACCCAAACAGGGACCCTAATTTTGACAGCCATCCATATAGTAACCCTGGGTTAAAACTTTTCTAGGACTGGACTCCGAGCCAGAAGACGGCATGCAGCGGGCTGATTGCACAAGGGCTCATTGGCCAGTGCCTCGTTGCAGACGATGATGATGGTGATGATGATGTAAACTTTGATGATGTTGTGTGCACGCGGGTGTGTTTGTCTGTGTTTATGTGGTCTGGCTTTCGGGTTCGCCTTTTTGTGGGTTTAGAGTTTGGGGATTAGGTTCTAGCGTTTAGGAGACTTATCCAGAGAGGCTCATTTTGGGGTTCCCTACAGAGTGCGTCACTCTTGTGACAAGGACCTTGGCAGGGATCCAAATCCAGAGAACATCCCAAAGGCATGTGCTTGTCTACCTGTAGCGCTAGGCGATGAACCCCTGCAGTCCTTGCAAATCGGCAGGTGTGTGTGTGTGTGTGGGCGCGCATATGTAGGAGTCTAGGCGGCCGCTATGCGTATGTATGCGCTTATGTCACGCATGTTTGTAAGCATTTCTCCGAAGACACGCATGCAAGTGTGCATCTACACATGTAGTTCACATCCATACACTATCCCTGTCGTAGCCGCACATGACTCCTGACCTGTTTCGAAATACTTCGAAGACTACGGCTACAGCATAAGATCTCCAGAGCCTTAGCTTTGGCCCTCCTCAACACGCCTCAACCCTGCCTCCAGAGAGGTACTCCATGCAAGTGATCTCTTTTGGACTACACACTCCCGCCAGCGATGGGCGCGAAGAGGCGGCAGATATCGGACAACTGGGTTGCTCTGGGGCTTCATGTATTGTGCTGTTTCTGGTTGGAACTGCCTGCTTGGCTTGTTTACTTGACTATGTCGTGGCCCAGGATGTCCGTTCTCCTTCGTCCTTCCACCGTCAACCGCCAGTTGAGTTGTCCCGGCGGCCACAAATACGAAGCAAACAGAGCTGCAGAAGCAGAGGGGCCGGAATCATCAGCACACATGCTCCATGAAGGCAATCATGGATACCACAATGGGAGCACGACAAGACAAAACAGCTGCTGCACACTACGAAGATAAGGATCAAGCAAAGTTTGCCGAAGCTTTTACAGTGTTGTTATTGCGACACATATGCCAGACGCACATCGTAGGAGAGCACAAAGGAAGTGAGACAGGAAGTCAGGAACTCTTCCATGCATCATCTGTGCACAGAAGTAGTTCCCTACTGAGAAGAACCGTGCTACAACACTTGCAATACATGCTCGCACGTGCATACTTGCGCCTGGAGCATTTATAGTAGAGGTGTGTTTGTGGCTTGTTGGCGTTAGCTGTTGTGCGTTGCTCGTTCGGTTGTTGCTTTTGTTGTTGACGATGCATTGCGTTTGTTATTTTGATGGTTCGATCATGCATTGTGATGTCGATGATGTCTCCTGTGCAGCCGCAGTTGCGAGTATTGCCCAGGTAGAGGGCGCTGTCACGTTTCTGCTCGTGTTGTCGTCGTTCTCATGTCTGTTGTATTTTAGTCTTTGCTTTATGACTATTCGATTCTCTTGCTGGTTTTCACTCGTCTGCGGCCATTGGGATTTTTGTCGTCTGCAGCAGTGATGGAGGTTCTTCATGGGGCTTTGGCATCCTGCTCCCCTGATGTTTCGAGGGCACGAGTCAGGTCCGTGTGTAAACCCGCCCTAACCCTCTATACCGTCGGTTTCGGGTTTCGGGTTTGAAAGACATCCTGTGTCGAAGCCAGGTCACACACTGGATCCGAGTATCGGCGCAGGTGTACTTGGAGAGGCTTCGGGCGCGTTTAGGGTTTAGGGTCGAGGGTTTAGGGAGCTGACTGCCTCAAGCACCCGCAGACTGTAGATTTTCAGATATTGCTCCCAGACAAACCAACTAGCCCTACCAGTGCCCGACCATATAACCCTATAGTGTACTTCGGCCACAATGCACGCATAGTAGGAACCCTAGGGCCGAGTTTTCTTTTTGGGTGAACGGTCCCTCAGGGTAAATGCGTTCCGACGTGCTGGACAGAGCAGCGAATTGAGACCAAACCCTAGTTGAAGGTTTAGAACCCTGAAACCTAAATCTATTGGGGCCGGGACTGTGTCAGCGCCCGGTGCCTGCACCCCTACAGACGGACCCTAAGAAAGACTTGCATATTCAAAATTGCTGCCCTGGAAAGAGCACCACAGTTGAATCCTCAATGCACTGAAGCTATCTTGGTGTTGGTGCTGAATATCAGGGTTTAGGCTTTAGGGGTTTAGGGACGAGGCCTGGGTTCGATTGCAGTTTACTACTAGCCGGAATAATTACTACATGATTTTGATCCTTATCCTTATCACCGCAATTCGTAAAGTTGGTATCCGCCTCTTCCGACATCCGTGAACGGGTTTCGAGACATTGTTGACTCGAGTGCCTTGCGCAGAGGCTTCAAGGAAAAGCGCATGCAAGGTCTCAGAATGACAACTGAGAGCGTCCACCCCGGATCCACATTTGGAGCACCCTAAACCCGGTACCTAAATCGCCAGGTCAGATTTCGAAGATCTCACCCACGCCGTGACGTCACTGAGGGCGAAGTGCACCAGCATGGAGAGCTCGATCGTTGCGTGAAAGAGCGGAAAAATCTGCTGTCCTCACGCTCTTCGATGATAATTCACGCTAGCCCCCTTAAAGTACCTATAACATGTATAGACATAAACCCTCCTTACAAAGCCCTACACCTACAGCTACATAGGCTATCTGCGATGAGCTGCTCAAACCCTGGCTTTTCCCGGAAGGATGTGGATGCCGCCGAATCCAGACCCATCGATGCAGATTCAAGCCGGGGCGACAGTTTTTGCTTTCCTTTAGGATGTGTAGGGTTTTAGGGTTTAGGTTTTTAGGGTTTTAGGGTTTATCAGGTTAAGGGTTCAGGTTTATGGGTTTAGAGCATTCAATGTTCCTTCGGGGCTCTTTAAGGGTATTGCTCGAGTAAGGATCAATGTAACCCCAGTGCCGGGCGATCGCCGCAGTCTGTCTCCGAGGTCAACTGCAAGATGCGAAAGTATGGGTTTAGGGGTTTAGGGGTTTAGGGGTTTAGGGTTTTGGGTTTTGGGTTTAGGGTTTAGGGTTTAGGGTGTCCAAGTACGGTGGGCTAAAGGACATTAACCGCAGGTGCGCTTGGGACTCCCGTAGCAAGCCCCTGCGCTAATGTAGGGGCGGGAGGACTTAGTACTCTAGGATGCCCAGTAGTACCCTTATTCCCTTTTTGTAGTACTGGGCTCCTTATAAAGTTACCCAATACCAAAAAGGGAGCCGATTTTATTCCTAGGTTACTGGGCATCCTAGGCTAGTACATGTGCCTGCTTTTGAGCTGCAGGATGCTGATAATGATTCACCCCCAAGCCTTATACAGACTAATCCTAAATCCCGAAACCCCAAACCCTGAACTCCAAACCCTGAACCCCAAACCGTCCTAAACTCCTAAACTTTTTGAGCCCTCCATAGTAAACCCCAGAAAGCTGGACACCGAATTAAGGACAATCAGTGCTGGAATTCCCTATACATTACTTTAGAGGCAGTTGGGTTTCCCTAAACCCTATACACCCTAAACCCTAAACCGTTTTGGGCTTCTACTGTATCAGGATTGGAAGAGCTTCCACGCTCCAATTCCGGGGGCTGATGGGAGGCTAAAGCCCCAAACCAAGACTGAGCAAGGATTTCGCGGTTTAGGGTTGGAGGGAGTAGGAGTCTCAGCACAAGATGCGTCCAAACCCATCTTTGAACTGTGCAATCCTCCAACCTTCCCTAACTTATAGTGCGAAATTAGTGACTGTTCAGGCCTCTATATCACCCACTTCTGGAACGAATCGAAACACAAGACTTTCTCAAACCACGATGAAACTACAGCCCTCAACCCTAGCTCCGAAAAAACCAACCCCATGCCAAGCCATCACACCCTATTCAAACCCACAGACTCTAGGGTTTAGGCTTGAGGGTTTAGGGTTTAGCCGTTTTAGATTCCCAAACAACCCTAAACCCAAGCTGCTCCATGATGAAATGCTTTTCAACCTCGGTGCCTATCCCCTTCCTTTGCTCAGGCGCTGGCAAGCCTCAACGTGCGAGTCCAAGATGGGATGATTCAAAGCTTGCTTCGTCATTTTCAGGGTTTAGGGATTTAGGGTTTAGGGTTTAAGGTTTAGGGGTTTAGGGTTTGGGGGTTTAGGGGTTTGGGGGTTTAGGGGTTTAGGGTTTAAGGGTTTAGGGTAGGTTTCGGGTATGATGACTAGTTTGGGTAATTCGAACTGGCAGTGGTGCTATTGCGTTCATTACAATCACCACTCTTTCTACAGTCTATGGTTGTTACGACCACCCGAGCGAGTCCCAGTACCTAGTGCCAGTGCTAGTACAGCGAAGCTTACGCATACATACATGCATACCCATACATACGTACATGCATACATAATGATACATGCGTACATGCATGCCTACGAAATGGCATACATGTCGATTGATCCTCAACCGAGTCTTATTTGACATTCGATCTGTTTCAGTATCTAGTGTTCTGCCACGGCTAATGTTGTCTGCCCTCTCTCATGCGGTTTTGCAGCCGATCGCATGTTTCAGTAGCCGGATTCATGTTTTGCTTTGGGAGCATCCGCATCCACCTGGGATCCGCAAAAAACGGCTAGACTTATGAAATTTCCGCATCAGGAACAATCATACATACACACTTGCTCTCTCTCCCTCGCCGGATTTCGTAACACAAAAGTCTTGCTTCGGGCTTGCAGGGAGAATTTATCTATATGAGCTCCGAAGACCACTCAGATGTGGAACACTAAACAATACTCCACAAAAAGAACCAACCCCTGTACTGTATGTAACAGGATGACTACAATTCCATTTTCATACAGTAAACTCCATGAAGTTGGAAACCGGATAAAGGCCAAATAGTGCTGGGATTCCCTTTAGATTGCTCTTAAGGATTGAGGCTATTGGGTTTCCAACTTTTTGGCTTCTACTGTAAACCTAAACCCTGTGCCTGGAGCCTCGAACCTGAAACCGCCAAAGTCTCCGGTCTTTGTGTTTCGAGTTCAGAGCTTAGAACGTTTAGGATTTAGGGTTGCCGATCGCCCTGCGCCCTCTGCACCCTAAACCCTAGACCCTAAACACTACCTTGACCCCAAATAACCTCCCTTTTTATGGACTTATATAAAGAAATCATATCAGGGAACCCTAACAAGGTAGGTTATATGGGGTCCAGGTAAACCCTAAACCCTAAACCTCGTGAGGCAGCATGCACAAGCCCCAGAAGATCTGGCTACACGTCTACGACCTGGGGCAAATGACCGTCGCTTGGCGGATCCTAAACCCTAAACCCTAAACCCTAAACCGTCAGGGGGGTTTAGGGTTTAGTGTTCAGGGTTTACGGTGTCAGGGGGCCTCAGTCAAGGGCTTATGGTTTCTACTATTTGCTTAAGAACCACCCGAAAAATAAAAAATATATTCCTTATAGGGATAATATAGGGATTATATTTTTTATTTTTTGAGTGGTTCTTAAGCAAATAGTAGGTTTTAGGTTTGACCCCTGAGCTTGCAATTGAAGGGCTTTGTGTCTGAAGGTGGAAAGGGCCTTCCTTGGAATGTTTGAACTTTGATCATATGGGGGCCCGAACAGTTACCAACATTGTTGCTTGTCGTTCATGAATGGCACAATTTCTCCGTACTATAGCCCAGAAACTTGCCAAGTTCCTGAGTAGTGCCCTTTTACCCTTGGTTCCCTTTTCAAAGCAAACAAGGGCCCCCATATTCTAAGGGGGCTGCTCAGAAACCTAACTTTTCTGATGGCTCAGGCCTTTTTGTTAGGCTTAACAGAAGGTCTGAGTTGTTCATCTTAGGAGTATCTTAGGGTTTAGGTCGTGAGGTTTCGGGTTTGGGGCTGAGGGTTCGTTATGAGGGGTTAGGGTTCCGATGTCAAGCGGGGAAGGTGTTAGGGACCTTGGGGAAATTTGGGGAATACCAGGTAGAATTGGAGACTGCCTGCATGAAGGATACGGTGCTACCAGCGGTTGGGGCGCAGATGTTTGCACCTCTAGAAGGAACTTCCAATTTGACCCTAAACCCGAAACCCTGAACTCCGGAGGAGGTAGAGAGATGTTAAAGGAAATCATCAGGCTCCTTAAGGGAACCCCTACAGAACCTTCAAAGGAGCCTCATACAACCCTTCAAACTAGTCTGTAGAGATTTTGAAGGAACCCTCCATGGAAGCCCCAGTAAACTTGTACAAACACGCTATTAGCCTTCCCCACTGTGCAGTCTCGTCATCAGGGTTTCTAATCTCCAAGAAACTGACAGCCAAATTCACCCCAAACCCTAGACCCCAAACCCAACGACCTCAGGCCAAGCTGAACACCTTCATGCTACGCTCCATGGGCATCGGTGCCTATCACGTGGGCGTTGAGGCGAGAGCGACTAGCTTACGGCCCAGGGCGCATGGTTTCGCGCTTTCAGGTTTGATGTGTCCGTCACAGTCCAAAGGGGAGCGAATACATGCAGCATCATAATATATATATATATATATATACACATATATATATATATTATGTATATATATATATATATATACCCATAACTCTTCTCTCTCTCTCTCTCTCTCTCTCTCTCTCTCTATATATATATATATATACACACCCATTTTTTGCATATATATATATATATATATATATATATATATTCACATTGTATATATCCGCAGGCAGTTATCCCAAACAGGGCTTGTTTCCAGGTCTCAGAACGAGCATGACATTGGTGTTAACACGGACGTTGCAAGGGACCCCCGACACCCAGCGAACTACCGGGACACATTCGCACATGCATGCTTAAGCATTGGTTCATTGATTGCAATGCAGCTGAATCTGAATGGTGTTGCTTAGCTAGTCTGTTTTAGAGAGTTTCTAAGAGTTGGTGTGTTTTTGTTTGTGCGTGACACGGTTGCTGTTGTTTCTACCTGCCACATTGATGCTGTCACGGTTGTTTTTCGTGGTGCATGCCATCAGCTGGATGACGACGGCAGCGATTTTGACGATGATAGCGTGTAGCAGAAAACAATCACGTATATTGACTGTCCGCAGCATAGGTAGATGGAGCTGAATGCTCGTAAGTTTCGCTAGTTCTTTCCGTTGGCTGGATCAGGTGCTGACCATGACGGCGCCAATGCTGATGGTGACCATGACGGCGAGAATACTGATGGTGATGATGATGGTGGTGGTGATGTCGATGTTGATGACGACCCTGACGACGATTACGATGGCCTCTTTCGATGATCAAGAGATCAAGATCACGATGGATGATGATAAGGTGGGCAGCGACGACTATACTGTCAATGGTTTTTGATATGTTCGTGATAAAAGAGAATATGATCATCTGGGTCATGACGATGTTGTTGCTGATATTGACAATGATGTTGATGACGATTCAGGTGACGATAATCGTGGACGGCGACGACGATACTGTCATTGATTAGGATGATGACTTGTCATGACGATCATGCAGATCATGATGAATAACCTCACCAACAACAAGAAATAATAATACCTTAATAATCGCAATACGATTATGCTGGTGATGATGATGAGAATGATGATGATGATGAGGAGGAAGAAGTGCTGGTACCGATGATCATGACAATTACAATCACAATACAAGCTACTGACGGTTATCGTGACAGATGCCTCTCGGAGGGCCTTGCCTTAGACCGCCGACCCAGCGGAAGACCGCATAATCCACGCCCTGGGCACGGTACGGCCCAACCCCCCTAGAGTGGCCAGGTGCTTGGCGACGAGTGGTACTTCCGCTGGAGTGATACTGCAGGACGCAAGAAGAACCTGATCAATTTGTCTTGGTTGAGTTCAGCTGAAGGACTTGACTGTTAAACCCTGCCAACCCCAAGCCCCAAACCCTAAGCTTGAACTCAAAACCCTGTGCAGCTGTTCCGAGCTGCTTTCTCACAGGGGGTCAGGGGCTGTCTGTTGTTTAGCTACACCGTAAGCTGCCCTAAACCCTAAATCTAAACCTTTCAGCCCTAACCAGAATAGAGTCCAAGGCTCGACTTTCGCATTCAAGGTTCGATGAATGAATCTCGCTTGACTTACAAGGATCATGTTAAGTCAAGTACCGTAGGAATGCATTCACGTGGCCCTCAAAAAAGGGGTTTATCAATGAGGGCTTTACATTCCTCATTAGCGTTCAATCTGCCGTTGCCGCAGAATCGGGCATCGTCTGGATGCGGCCGCGAGCGCATCAGGCAGAGCTTGCGAGATGTAGTCGGTTTTGGGTGTAGGGTGAGATGTTACATACCCTCGAAAGTAGGGCCGTTTAGTGCTTGGTTAGTTGTTGAGGGTTCAGGGTGCAGTTTTGAGTGACGTATTCATTATCCTTCGAGGCGCTGCTGGTAGGGTCTGGCAGGGTTGAAAGAACTCCTAGGACCCAGAGTAGGCCCTTATTCCTTTTTGTTTAGGGTTCAGGTTCCCTTATAAGCCCCTTTTAAAGCGCTTGGGTCTAGACTCTTGTTTTCGAGAGGGCATGGAGATGGATGACTCGATGTTTTAGCGGTTCCGCGTGAAACGGTTTAGGCTTCAAGGTTTCTGGCTTCAGGTGTTTACGGTTAAGGGTTTGAGATGCAGTTTCGTGAAGATCGCCCGATCGGCCAGGTTCATGTCTATAGCGAGTCCATCTGCTTGGGCACGTCGGAGCTCTCTGACAAGCAGATTCGATCTGCCAAGCCCTCAGCGCCGCAGGTTTCATTTCATAACTTAGAGACTCCTGTAAAGTAGGGGCCTTAATAATTACAACAGGGTCTAGGGTATACTATACTGTACTTATATCAAGGAACCCCAGAACCCTATTCTAATTATTAAGGCCCCTACATTAGCATGCTTATAAAACACAAAGCCCTACGACAGTTTTTGCAAGCTACATGAACCACTATGGATCGCTGAGACTTTGGAGAAGCGTTCGCACTTGCAACACAAGGATGCCAGCATTTCGAGGGGTATGCCCCTACACCCCTAGAGCCCTTAAGCCCTAATTACAAATCCTTTTTCTCCCTAAACCAAGAACCCTTAAATCCTAAAGCCTACAAACCTTAAACCCTTAGAGCCCTAAACCCTCAACCCTAAACCCTTAGAGCCCTAAACCCTTAAGCCCTACACCCTAAACCCTTGGAGCCCTAAACCCCTAGTGCCTTAAGCCCTAAACCCTAAACCCCTTAGAGCCTTAAAGTGCCTTAAATCCAAGGGTAAAACGAGGGACCCTTAATAAGCACCCCTAGGTATATACCCTTAATATAGCTAGTATATCCCCATTATCTAGCCCATAATGGGGTAGGTGTCCCCATTAAGGGTTCCTCCTTTTCCCCTAAACCCCCTAAACCCCTAAACCCTAAACCCTATACCCTCATAGAATCCCTATAGATCCCTTTAAAGGGTCCCCATCCCTAAACCCTATACCCTTATAGAATCCCTATAGATCCCTTTAAAGGATCCCTTTAAAGGGTCCCTCCTTTTTCCCCTGTTCTGGGCGCCTCCCGAGGTCCTCGGGGGCTTCGTGGATGGTTGGCCGGCGCGATCGTGCGCAGCAGAGCTGACCTTGAAAGGAGTAGCGGAGCGGGGTTTAGGGTTTAGGGTCAAGAGGTCTAGGGTTTAGGGTTAGGAGGTTTAGGGTTTAGCGGGGTTTAGGGTTAGGAGGTTTAGGGTTTAGGCTTAATTAAGAGGTTTCGGGTTAAGAAGTTTAGGGTCTGGGGTTAAGAGGTTTAGGGTTAGGAGGTTTAGGGTTAACAGGTCTAGGGTTTTAGGGTTAGGAGGTTTGGGGTTCAGAGGTTTAGGGTTTAGGGCTTAGAGTGTTTGGTCAGAACTGTGTTGAAGTTTTAGGGTGCTTTCTTCTTTGATGAAGTTATACAAGCAAAACGGGCACATTGATTGGTACTAGGTCTTCCGACCTCTGTATCATGGTGAGCGATACTAGGCGTTGTGATCCCCACCTTGCCTAAGTACATGTAAAATATTACACCGATGCCCTGTTGTTCGCTGGCAGCTCCCGAACAACCTGAGTGTCGTGGCTTGACCACCTGACTCCTCAGCTCTTTTGCTACTCCGGACCCCTATGCTTGGGTGATACCGGTCACGACAGAGGCCTCAATGCTAAACCCTAAACCTAAACCCTAAACTCTAAACCCTAACCTCTATAGACCCTGAACCCTCCGTAGCCATTTTGGCTCAAGCCTTTTTGGCTCAAGGGATCCAGCGAGGGTTGCTCTTCTTTCCCCCCGCCTCGCGCCGAAGCTCTGGTCGTGCTCTGCTTGCTGATCCACCTGCCCGTCGGTGTGACGCTTCAGGGTCTCTTGTCGGAGCTGGCGGGTTCAGGAGCCCCACCGGAAGTTCGCGGAGCTGCATTTCATCGGCCGGCTTCTTGCGGTGTCGCACGGTGCGATCCGGGGCTTTATCATGGTGCCTGGGAGTGGCAAGCCGGCGGTCCAGCTGGGAGGGGGGCAGGCCTCTGAGGTGCCGGTTCCGGTGGACGAGGAAGATGATGATATGGCTGAACCCCGCAAGCGGAGTGGCGGGCCTGAGCCTGCTCCGGGGCTCCCTTCGCCCAAGAAAGAGAGGTCGGGGGTGGTCACCTTGGATGTGCAGCGTATTCGCGAGCTGCTGGCGGAGCAGAGTCGAGAGCTGCTGGGGGCTCAGCAAAAGCAGCTGGATCAGGCTGTCCAGGATATGGAGAATAAGATGGAGATCCGGGTTGCTGGGGTCGAGAAGCAGGTGGCTGAAGCTCAGGGGCGCTCGGAGGTGTTGGAATCCAAGGTCGAGCAATTGGAGACTGCACTGCGGGAGCTCACGCAGATGGTGAAGGAGGGCTCAGGGCCTCGGCATCTTGGGGACGACTCGGAGAGAAGGCGTTCGACACTGGTCTTTGGAGGGTGGCCGAAAGACAGCCGTCGGATGGACATCCTCTCTGAACTCAAGGAGGCTTTGATGAAGCTGGGGCTGCAAGCAGATTGTGATGAGGCTCCATTTTGCACAGGGCCGAGGCGATCCATTGCCCTGATGTCAGTGCCTCTGAGGGCCATGGAGACGGAGCAAGGGAGGCGATCGAGGATGTTCAAGTTTGTTTCCGCCTTCCAAGGGCACGAGGTTTCCTCAAAGAGTGGGTCCAAGCTTTGGTGCAACTTCAGCAAATCCCCCAAGGAGAGGGCGATCGCGGCCCACGCCTCGCACGTGAAAAGGGTGGTGGCACACTTTGATGAGGAGATGGCCGCTGGGCAGCTCGACTTTGAGTACAAAACTGGGTCAGTGTGGGGGCCGCAGTCTATGTTGGCAAGTGCTTTGCTTCCCCACCCCCCTGGGGTAGCAGCGAAGCATCTCCTGGTCGATGAGGAAACCGACCACAAGCACTGGATTGATGTGTCCCAGGTCGCGAAGCTTGTCAACAAAACGGCTAAGCAGGTGAGGGATGCGATTCATGTGTGTAAGCGCTGATCTAGCATGGAAGGATCGATGTCTGCAGACGAACTTGGGGCACTTCGGCATTTTGCTGGCCTTGAGTCGCACGAATTTAATGTGAGGCATGAAGGTTCGTGTCACCCTCCACGAGTGAGGGTGCAGGGGCCGGCTGGGGCTAGGTGGCAAAGCCACACTCATGGGGCTCGTGATGAACCCTGTGAGCTTCTTGCTCCTTCCTTTTCCTCTTCTTGTATAGAGTCTTGTAGGGTCGAAGCTCAAGGACCGAGGGCAGAGTGCAAAGTTCAAGTCTATGGATGGAATGTTGGAGGGGCCGCTCTCTCGGACCTTGCCAAAGCAGTGTGTGAAGGTGCACGAGGAGCCTTGGATCCGGATGCGATTGTGCTCCTGCAGGAGCTGCCTCGTGGGACTGCTGGCTGGACCTCGGAAAAACAGGGGACGCTGGAGATTCTCTCACACAGATCGGAGGGTGCGTGGCGTGGTGCAGGGCTCGCATTCAATACTGATTCGTGGTGTGTGGTGAGACGAGTCGCTCGATCTAGAGGGTGTTGGGTCTTGCTTAAGCACCTCGTGCACGGGAACCAGGTCTGGTGCGGAACAGCTCACTTCACCCCAGGGTGTACCCAAGCACAGTACGAGAGCGAGGTCACGAACTTCTTTGAGGGCACCCCCAAGGGCTCGGTACCAGTGGTGTGCCAGTTTGACGCGAATGCATCGATTGTGTGGAACCAGTTTGACGGGGAGGTCCTTGCAGTGGGGCGGGATGGCAAAGCTAATGAGGCTCTTGGGCAAGTGGAGTCGCGAGGGCTGGTGATGGTTCCTCCCAATCCTGCTCAGTTCAGAACTCCCACGAGTAGACCGAGACAGGAGGGGCGCCGAGGGAGCATCATCGACTACATGGCGACCAGGGGAGTTAGACGAGCGAGGGAGATTGTTCATGTAGACTCGTGTCACGTGCTCGGGACCGACCACGAACTTCTTCAGGGTGAACTTGAACTTATGAAGGGAGAGGCTGCACGGAGAGCACCTACTGCACCACGGGTGTGGAAGGGTGGGGTTGATCTCATCAAGTACCTGGACCAGGCGACCCTTGTTCAGCTTGCAAGCCGGTGTACCAAGCCAGCACAGGGGCGTGGCTACAGGGACCCCCCCGACGTCAAGGAGGCAGTAGCTCGGGCTAGGTTGTTGAGAACGAAGGCTTCGTGGTGTACGGTTCGCTCTCTCCGCAAGAATGCACGGAAAGTATGGGAATCCCAACGGGTCGAGCGCGCTAGCCAAGGGGACTGGGGAGCCTTCAAGGATGCCAAGCCAAAGACACATGCAGGGTGGCAGCACTCATTCGCAGATGCACAGGAGTTGGATCCGCACACGGTTGTTCATGATCACTTGCAAGCGGTCTACCAGGGCAGGGGTGTGAAGCCGAACAAAGGGGTCTATGAGGGTGACGTGACGGTGTTCAGCGAGAAGGAATTGAGGGATGCTCTCTCACAGATGAAGCGGGGGAAATCGGTTGGAGTCGATGGCACATCAACGGAATTGCTGCAGGCCTTGGTGGACGTGGAGGGTGGCTTCACCCACCTACTTGAGTTTATGAACAGAACCCTGGTTACACAGCAAATCCCTGATGACTGGAACACTCCCCTCATGATCCTGCTGCCCAAGATCCTCGAACCTCTGGAAGCTAAACACCTCAGGCCGATCTCGATGAATAGTGCAGTAGGGAAACTCTTCTCGAGGCTCCTGCTAAACCGAACCCTGAAGTATGTGACGGCGAGAACCCACTCCCAGTGTGCCGGTGTGGGAAGACAGTCCGCGGATTACCTTTTTACGGTTTGGCGTTTGCTGGAACTTGAAAGAGAGTGGCACGTTGGGTTGTGCCTCCTGAAACTGGACGTGTCCAAAGCTTTTGACACGGTTGATCGGGAGCAGCTGCTTAGAACTCTGGGGTCTCGTATGGGCGATTGTGCAGAACTCCGGTGCTGGAGGGCTCTTCTTCAGGATGGGCATGCACTCCTGCAGTCACCGTGGGGGTCGTCACTGGTGGAGATGACACAGGGGATAAAGCAGGGGGCGGTCGAATCGCCAGGGTTTTTCTCGATGATCGCTGAGGTGTGCTTCCAGGAGGCAGGCGAAAGGTTCGGATGGGATAAGATGCCGTCAGCCTTCGAGGGCATGCCACACCACGATGTGCTGTTTATGGATGATGGCTTCATCTGGTCTTCTGGGGTGCAGGGCATACAGCAGAAAGTGAGGCAGCTAATGGTGGTCCTTCAGGAGTTCGGTCTCAAGCTCAACGGGTCTAAGTGCCAGCTTCTCTGTTCTCCCCACTGGAAAGGGCAGCGGGCCGTTTGGATTGCAGGGTCGCGGGTGGAGGCCTCCCCGGAGGTGGATGTCATGGAACTTCCCATGCGTGTGGGGATGACGATGTCGGAGCTTGTGTCGCCGTTGGTGGCTAGGGCCAGGTCCAAATTCTGGAGCATGCACCACGTGTTTCGTTCCAAAACAGGGCTTCGGAAACGACTGCAAACTTTGGCGACGGCGGTTGGGAATGCTGCCATGTGGTGCCTTGCCTCTTTCCCACCCGAGAAGCCTGCCATGGGGATGCTGAACACCATGCAGCTGCAACTGACCATGTGGACCATGCGACTGGCGAGGAGAGTAGGGGAGAGTATGGGGGAATTCCGTGTTAGGGCTTTCAGGGCGGCCAGGTATGCACTTCATGCCAGTGGAGTCGAGCGTTGGGGGACCAGCTGGCTGAGGCGATGGTGGCGATACGCCGGGCATCGATCCAGATGCCTGCTCCGGGATTTCCCGCCGATCAGTGCCCACTTGGATGCCTTTCGCACTCTCGAATGGTGGGAAACTCAGAAGGCGACAAGCGGACGAACACACCCAAGACATTACCCCAGACTCGCAAACATGGAGAGGGCCATGAATGCAGCAGCTCGGGGGGAGTGGAGAATGGTGGCACACAACAGAACAGTTTGGCAAGGGCTTGAACAAACGTGGGTTGACAGCATGGATTTGCCGTGGGCGAGTGGCAGACAAACCAGACTTCAAGACTGGCGATAGTGAGAGGGTAATTTGTTTTCTCTGTTTGTCGTTGACTGCGAATGAAGGGAAGCCTGATGGCAGTCGCGGCTCAGCATTGCTTTGTAGCTGTGCACTCTGTGAGGCTCACCAGAGCCTCTTCGCGAACTTACGAACTTTCATGTGCCACGTGATGTGGCTTCTTTCCGTAGGACTCGCTGTGGTGAAGTGCCATGTGCAAGAGCCACCTCGAGACCTACTGCCTGATTTTCTTGATTCCGACCGACCTGACCCGGGAACCCCTGGAGGAGTTGGGCGAGAGCAGTACCACGTGAGGACCCTGAATTACACGATTCAGCCCGACGTTGCGATTGAGACTGCTGGGGATGCAAGTGGCGGCCAACCGAAGCCATTGGCCCCGGGGAGGGGTTCCTCTGTGGACTATGCAGATGGGCCTGAAAGGGGAGATGATCGGGACGGCGATTCCCGACTTTGTGAAGCAGGTCGGCGGGTGTTGAACCACCTGGACGAGGCCTTTGGGACGACCGCGCACATGCACTACGAGATCCCCGCTGAGGATGTGGCCTTTATGCAGGAAGCTTCGCGACCGGCCTCGGCGAAGCGGGCCCACCCTAGGCCGGACAGACCGTGCGAGGAATGGGTCGAGGGTGTCATTGCGGACTTTCGCCAGCTGGTGGACCAAGGACAGGGCAGGTTGGCGCGAAGGTCACTGATGATGGAACTGCAGAGGAGATGCCATTCGACACCCACGGACCTGGCGGAAGAGGTGTTAGGGTCTGCTTTGGACGACGAGAGCCTCCTGCCAATGCGAGCCAGGCGGTACCCGGTTGACATGGAGACCTGGGTGCATAGAGTCACACAGGAGCTGGAGCGGTGCTCGAGGGAGTGTGCTCTGAGGCGACCCCGGATTACGCCGGCTGCGAGCTCACGGGACCCGGAGCACCCGTTCGGCATCTTTCACGCGGCTCATGTATGGAGGGATGGGACGTGGTCGTCGGCTGAGGACTTGGTTCGAATGGGGAGAGAAGACCTGCTCCCACAGAACAAAAGGCGACCAACGGAGGAGGATGAGGACCGAGAAGGGAACGGGGAACCGGATGAGGAGGCCCTCTTCCAAACTGGTATGGAACCAAGACCGGTGCGGCGCTGGGAAGACCTGATCGAGCAGTTCTGGCAGTGGTGGGATGAAGAGCGAGCCCTCGGGATCGCTGTTATGATGATGAGACGCCTGGCCAACTCCAGGGCTGATGCTGAGTACCGGCGATGGGCGGTCCGACCCTGTGACACTTTGGGGGCGGGGATTCCCAACAGTGAGGGTGAAACGGAGGATACCTCGCCAGCGGACTTCATGCGATGGGCTGTGGAAGCAGAGGACACACTCTATGCTATATACTTAAGGGAGACTGCGGAGGTGCTGGAGTCGGAGGGCGATGCTGCGGGGTTCATGGAAAGAGAGAGAGGGAGGCGAGGGGGAGAGCGACACCGTGGTCGTGGGAGATCCAGGTCGAATGCCAGGGATGCAGCCAATCGGGATCACCAACGTGGCCGTGCTCGAGACCGAGACGAGGCGAACAGACGGTGTGGCCCAGCTGGAGGGGACAGAAGGGAGCATCCGAACCTGGCATCTGCACCATGGCGAACAGCGGGGCGACCTCGACCGGAGCCGGCATCGGGCTCACGAGATGGGGCCTCGGGCTCACGAGATGGGGCTGGTGGCACTGGAAGTCACACCGAGTCTGCCAGAGGGTCGGATGGACCTGGTGCTGGAGGGGCCCGCTCAGGAGAAGCTCGCTTTGACGACTTCAATGCCACGATGTTGTTTTTCCCGACGGGTCCTCGTGACTCGGATGCAGGAGTGGACATTTGGAGGTACCTGCTGGGAATCGGCACTTCCGATCTTCCTCGAGGGCGTGAAGTTATCGGAGCTGGGGGACCCCTGATCCCGGATAACAGGGCAGAGTGGATGGTGGAGGTCCTCCGTGACTACACCACCCAGCAGCAGATGATCATGACCATTGCCCTGGTCACTACGGTCCGTGCCCTTCTTACCGAACTAGGCCAGATCATGCACCAGGCATCCTTGGTTGAGGTTGACCTTGACGAAGATGACACCGGAGGAGACAGAAGAGCTGGGGGCCGGGGTGACGAGGACGACGAAACAGGGTTGATGCAGCTTGGGGAGGTGATGTTCGTGCAGAAGGGTGTCACCATGACCTATGGGGTCCTGCTGGACTTGCAGAAGGAGTTTGAAGGGCCCTCGCCGGGCCTTGCCAGGCTGCGGGCCTTGAACATGAGAAAGCAGCTGCAGCAGTTGAGGGTGGCGGCGAAACTGGAGGAAAAGGAGCTGGCGGATCAGCTCGATGCCCTCTGTGTTGCCACAGCTGAAGCCGGCAGGGGCTATGTCCACGAAGGGTTCTTGGCCTCGGAGGAGCAGCTGAACGCATGGACGTGGGCATGGTTCCTGAAGCTGGTTCCCCCACTGAAGCTTCGAGGCAGACGGGGTAGTGCCTCTACGGACCCTGCCCCGGTCACACCAGTGCCCATTGGGTCGCAGTCAAGCTCAGCGAGGTCGCAGTCCACTATCTGCCCTACATTGGTCGCGATGGGGGAGCACGAACAGCAACTAGAGCGCCGTGATTCCAAGGCCATGGATGATGCCCAGGCGGCGTTCGAGTACGAGGAGGACCTGTACTACAAGGGTGTGGAAAAGGCCGTGGAAGAACACATGCGAGCTGAAGAAAGCCACAATTACCAGGCGTGGGATGACTGGGCACTCTATGATGAGATGCATGGACCCAGGGCTCGAGTGAAACGTCGTCGACTGATGCTTGAGGTTTCAGTGGGACCGCGGGAAGGACAGCCGGGCACCTCGCAGACGGTCAGAGTACCTTGGACCTCTACGGGGTCGCAAGTGGTGGTCACTATGCAGACCAAGATGGAGTCGGACGACGAGGATGCCACCACCGTCAGGGCTTCACCTGGGCGGTCCGGGGGAGCTGACATTCCTCTGGACTTTGGCGAGTACATGGACTTGTTCACTCAGTGGTCTCAAGGGATGGTCAGCAGTGCTGAGGTGAAGACCCGCTATGGCGAAACAACCTTAGACATGCTGGAGACGCAGATGGTAGTGAAGGCGGGCGCCCTGGATGACGAGGATGATGGTGACACTGATGAGCCCGGCCAGGGATCCCTTGGAGTTGGTGGTGTCGGGCCCATTGTGCGAGATCCAGGTGATGTGCAGCCTCTGTCTACAGGGTCGGTGTCGGAGGGGATGGGGGCAAATGCCTCCCAGAGGGCAGAAACACTCCTGGACGCGGTCCTCTCATGTACCCAGGTGGAGAATGCCGAGACGTTGGTGCTTCAAGGGGCGGAGCAAGATGATGAACCTGCTGGCCGATGTGAAGATGCAGATGCAGGGGTACAGGGTGATGACGAAAGTGAGCCAAAGGGTCGAAGTCGGTCGCAAGTGGAGTTGTGAAGGTCAGGAAGTGAATCGGGCTGAAGGTAGCGGAACCAACCTGCCCAAAAGGGCTCTCTGTGCTGTACTGCAGTATGGAAAAAGGTGTTCAAAAAAAAAAAAAAGCCTAAACTCTAAACCCACGAAACCCTAAACCCCAGGTACCATCCTGTCAACCGCAATTGCATTCACTTTGCGCAGGCACGCCACTTGTAAGCTGTCGACATCCTCGAAAGTTCAGGGGCAAGGGCTAGCATCCAATCTTGGGAATCCAGTGCTTGAAAAGATCAAAGCCTTGTGGCGTCACTACGGAGCACCTAAACCCTAAACCCCTAAACCCTAAACCCCTAAACCCCTAAACCCTAAACCCCTAAACCCTAAACCAAACAGATGGGGCTTGGGCTGTCGACTTTGGGGTTCAAAGCTTCGTCGGCGAGGCGCTGCAGCAAAAAACTGCAACACATCTAGTTGGGAGTTTCCGAAAATTAGGGGTACCCTTTTAGGGGGTCCTTATCATAAGGATTCATATGGGAGTTTCCGAAAATAGGGGGGGGGACCTTATTTTGGGGTCCTTATAATAAGGATCCTGCTATTTAGGGTACTATCTTAGCGTCCCCTATTTTCGGAAACTCCCAGTTGAACCTTACGATGAGCCCTTGTGGTCCTTATGGTCGCGGCAGTGGTCACAAACTAGCAAGGATCGCTTTCATGGCCATGCGGAGGCAGAAGCTATCCTCGTCATCACCTGTGTCAACATGAATCAAGCCCCATCTCCACCGCTGCAAGCAGCACGACCTGCACCACCAGTAATCACATCATTAACCTTCTGAGTGCCGGCATGATGATCTTCATCACCATCACCGTCATCATCATCATCATCATCATCCATGTTGTCATCATCAACTCTCATGGGTCATCGCCAACTTTACAGTCCTGGTCGTTGACAGCACTGCGACCATCTTCGCCGTCGTTACCATCACCATAGTCCACGTCTCATCGTCGTCGGCGTGATATCCATTTTGATGTGCTTGTGGTTTGTCATCACAGCCGTCATCACCACCATCACCCTTGCACAACACAGGGATGCTACTCAGAGCATGCCCAACGCACCGCATTTTGAGTGTAACTCGCAGAAAGTTCCAAAGCCTAAGACACGTATGGTACATGATTTTTCTTCGAGGAATGCGTTTGCAGCAGGCTATGAACCTGGCCAGGCCAGCATCATGAGCATCAGCAGGAAGCCGAATTTTAAATGGCAAGCGGACGGTAGCAGCATCATGAGCCTCAGCTGAAGGCTGTGTTTCAACCAGGTCACGGGTGCCCAGCGGCACGAGTATCCGCTGCGGCTGTTCTTCAACCAAACATCATCAGCATCAGCTGCAAACTGTGTTTCAACCAGTCCACGGGCAGTTCGCATCATCAGCATTCGCCGAAAGCTGCGTCTGAACCAGCCTCTACACGGCCAGCATCATGAGCATCAGCTGAGGGTTGTGTTTCAACCGGCCCACGGACGGCCAGCATCATGAGCATCAGCTGAAGGTAGTGTTTCAAGCAGAAGACCGTGTTTCCAACCAGCCCATGGACGGCCAGCATAATCATCATCAGCTGAAACCCAACATCATGAGCATCCGGTGAAAGCTGTGTTTCAACCAGCCCACCACGTGCGGCCAGCATCATGAGCATCAGCTGAAAGCCCTGTGTCCGCCAGCGCACAAACGGCCAGCATCATGAGCATCAGCTGTGAAGGCTGTGTTTCAACCGCCCCCGCGCGGTCAGCATCATGGGCATCAGCTGAAAGCTGTGTTTCAACCAGCCTCCGGTGGCCAGCATTATGTGCATCACGGCCAAGCAACAGAACCTTAAAGTATTCAAGGGGTTTGTGCTTCAAAGGACTCTCATGGTACTTGGCCTGTCATCCTAGCAGGAACCCTGGGCTTGGCCATGACTTCGTGCATAGGTGACAGTGCATGTGCCTCCTTTAGCTTCCTTCACGTTTCAGCTCGCGTGTTCCCTTGGACTGTTCTCCTTTCTCGCCTGGAGTGAGATCTCTTGGAGCGTCGCGGCTACTCGTGTTTCCAGTTGGCCATTTGCCGACGTTTGTTTGTTTGGCCTTGGTCTTTGTACCCTTCCGCCCGATTGGCCTGGTTACTAGCTGAGCTTGTGCTTGTCTCCCCACCCCTCCACCAACCCCCCTTCAGGTCAATACGAGGGGCTTCATACTTAGAAGAGGGTTCCTTAAAGGGGTCTATATGTATGTGTATATATATATATATATATATATATATGGGCTACTGTAAGGGATCTATAAGGGTACTATATAATACAAAGGCGGAGAACGCCCGGGCTTTTGCTGCCAGGCATTTGTGGAAGCTCTCCGATGCAGTCAGCCCTTCCCGGCCTGGGCTCGGGAGCCCGGAGGTGTGGGCTCTATAGCGTTTTACTTAGGGGTACTTAGGTTTTTAAATTTTTGGTTATTATAATCCCTAAGAAACAGCTAAAATTGTAATTTTTGCTAGGGTTCTAAGTTCAGTATAGTATTATAGGCTTAGTAGCTGAGTGGAAACACTTTACACTTTTTGGGATAATATTGCCGACTATAAAACTGAAAGTGTGCACTTTTTTTTGTTTGGGGGGGGCTTATGAACTCAGCAACTAAGTAGGGGCCTCGACATGTTGGGGGGTTCCTTGTTGTAATTCAAGTGGGCTAAATAGTAGTTACTATATACGGGCCTAAATATTTTGTGGGGTCCTTGTTATGCTTTTAGTATAATGGGGCCCAAACCCTACTCTAAACTAACTACTAAGGCACCTATATACTAGGAGCCCGGGAGCAGCAGTGGCAGCAATCACTCGCGCCGTCGACGCCGTTGCGGCGGAAGTAGCAGCAGTGGCAGTAGCCGGAACTTACCTTTGGTTAGTAGGGAATGGAAGAATGGTAGTAATAGTAGTTATAATTGTACCCCATTCCTCCATTTCCTACTAACCAAAGGTAAGGGAATCGCACCGCGAGGAACAGCATGACAGGAACAGTCGTCAGTACAAGCGTAAGTACAGGCTCAGGGAGGGTCGATCGTTGTAGGGTAGTAGTGGTCGTCCGTAGTCGTCGTCGTTTTCGTATCACCTGCAAATGCTAGTCCGATCGTGACTGCCGACTCCGATTGCGACTCCTATGAGCTGACACTAACACCTCTGGGCTCTTGCCTCCCTAGACCCCAAAAGTAGGTAAAATAATGGCCCAAAGCCGATAAAAGGCTATTATTCTATATACTTTTGGGGTTCATGCCTCGAAATCATCCTTCCTACCGGGTGGTGGAAGGTGGCCAGCCCAATCTCCACGCTGTGGAACAGCTTCAGTCAGCCCCATAAGCTGCAGAGACCAACCTAATTAGTATAGGGGCCTTTAACAACTACAAAAGGGTTTTGGGAGGGTTGTGGGGCAGTATTGGTACAGTAATTATTTGGGCCCCTATATCACCCACCTTCAAAACTTTCCCAATCGGCGTTATACCCTGAAGCCCCTATGCCCTAATGCCCCCAGACCCCATGCCCCCAGACCCCAAACCCTCATGCTTTGAGCCTCTGCCTTCCAACCTAATATACCCTACTGCCCTCAACCTGATGCCTTCAACCCTACCTTCAACCCGAAACCCTATGGACCCTGAACCCTATGATTAGGGGTTCAGCGTATCGGGTTTAGGGTTATGAGCCCTAAACCGTACCACGGATCTTGCAACAGAGGTCCTGGGACTGCCAGACGCTGTGCAGTCGACGTGCCCTCGCTCTTCTGGCGGTTGTTAGGTGCTCGAGGTTGGTTTTTAGGGTTTAGGGTTTAGGGGTTTAGGGTTTATAGGGTTTATTGTAATTGTAGACATGGGTTCTTTCCATAGTTAATGGGTTCTTTTCCATAGTTTGGAGAGCAGTTAGACTAGAACACAGCTTGCAGGCTTAGAGTTGAGGTCCAAGGATGTCGAGTTGAGGTGAAGGCTTAATGGGTTCTGTCACCGTGTGTTTCAAGTCTTGCTGGAATCATCCCGTCATTCACGCCCTAAACCCTAAACCCTAAACCCTAAAACCCTAAACCCTAAACCCTAAAACCCTAAGCCCTAAACCCTAAACCCTAAAACCCTAAACCCTAAACCCTAAAACCCTAAACCCTAAACATGCCTCAGGACTCAAAATCCTGAACTCCGGATCCCGGCGGATAAACCACTAATCCCTGGACCTACAAGTCCTAAACCAGGGTGCAGCTTGTGAAAACAGTACTTTTGACCATAGGCTAGGTTCCTGAGTGTTACCCTTTTGACCTTTGATTTTTTTTTGGGGGGTCTCCTTAGCAAAACAGAATAGTAAGAAAAAGGGTTCCCTTATCATAAAGGGACTACTCAGGAACCCAGTCGGGGCAAGTTGCAAAGCTTCTCGCTGTGCCATCTCATCTAGGCTCCTGATGAAGAAGTGTCCTCGGTGAGTAAGGGGTTTCGTTGTAAGAGAGATATTGCGCTTGAGGTCCCGACTTGACTCTATCCATGTAGACGCAGCTGACCCTTTGGCTCAGCTGTACGAAGCTGCCTCCCTAGTGCGTCTGGCCGACAGCAGGCACGCTTCCAATCAGGGCTGCCAAGAAGTATCCCTATGTTAATATGGCCAGCTGTAGGTTAACACCGTCAACTAGTCGTTTCTGATTGGTAAGGCTTCACACACGGGTTGGCGTGAACACAAACGCTGCGACGATTATCATTGCAAGGATGCAGTGCTTGCTAGTCTTGCTGCGCTGTTCCAGTGCTTCTCTATCTGACCGCTGGTAAAGTAAATCCAAGGCGGTTGATGCTAGCTCACGTGCATGGGGCATCTTACAGTCAAGGACTGGGGGCGCTTGGGTTTAGGGCGACGGTGTTCAGCACATCGTCAATTTGTAGCCGGTATCCTCCACCATACAAGGCCAGTACTTGATACAGACTAATTACGTACCATCAAGGAAGCCATACAGCATGGCTTATTTGAATATATGTTTTCTCCTGGTGAAG